CAAAGTTGATTAGATTGACAGTTAGCATCTTCAATAGTATTGTTCAAAATATGAATAAGAATAGATGTAAAATTGCCAGGAAGAGCAATATAGTTAAAAGGAGAAAATATGTTATATAAGGACAGAATATTGTTAAAGCAGTTAGTGAGGAGTTTGGTATATAGTTTTCTAATGTGTTTAACTAAGCTAATGGGTCTAGTGTTTGATAAATTGCCATTGAAGATAGGTTTTTTAGAAATGGGAAAGATACGACTCTCTTTCCATTGTTTAGGTATAGTTTGAAGAGAGAGACAGCGATTAAAGAGTAAAATAATAGCTAAAGTAAAAAAAGAGCTAGCATGTTTGATCATTTTATAACTAACACCAGAAGGGCCACATGCTTTGTTATTAGGAAGTTGGCTAATAGTAGAGGTAATTTCCTCTTGAGTAAAATTTGAAAGAATACTAGTATACCAATTGAGATCGATATGTGATTTGGGGTTATATTTAGTTTGCCAGTGAGATTCAAAGATATTATGGTTAATGTCATGGTGAGCAGTCCAGTTATCAAAGTGTTGTTAGATATATGATTTAATAGTTGGGGGGTTAGTAATAATATCATGATTGAGCTTGATATAATTGAATTTAACAGGATCTTTGTGATGATTTAGGATGCTGAAATCATAGAGGTAGGGTTTGTTTGGAGTTTGTTACATCTTTTATCGATAGAGTTATTGATATATTGTCTGATTTCTTTGATATTTTCAATGTTCCGGGCATGGTAAATGTTTTTCCATTCTTCATTAGCTTCAGAGATCCAAGATGATAGAAGGTGATAAGATGTAGGAATAGTAGAAATTTGTAAGCTTAAGGATTGGTTAAGAGAATAAATAGTAGTATTAAAGTGGGAGGGGATAGTTGTATTGAATTTGAGAGAGTATTTAATATAACAAATAATATTGCCAAGCTTTTTCAGGTTGGAGTGAAGTAAAGATGCTTTGAAAGAAAAAACATGTTGAAAATTACGGACTGTAAATTTTTTATTGGGAATATGTTAAAGGGCAGCAGAGATGATACTAGTATGAATTTTGTGCCAAGTAGATTCAAGAGATTCATCAGTATGAATAGATAGTGGAGTATGGTTATGTGGTTAGCAAATTCTTCCCACTTTGTAGAGTTCATAACTTTGTAGTTAAAAACTCTATGACATGTTCAAGTTTTATGTCTATGTTGACCCTGTAGAGCATAAGGAAAGAACCAGCAAGAAATAAAGATTTTGTGATTGCTAAGTGAGCTAGTATTGGTATCATCAGTTTCAAGGAAGTTAGATAAATTAGAATAGTATAGTAACTCCAGATGAAGTCAATTTCACTACTGTATCTAGAACTTTGCCATGTAGGTGAAGATGTAGAAGTGTGAGCTGCTAAATTGTACATGTTATTAAAGGTAAGGAATTGAAGAAGTTTAAATTTAATAGAAGAAAAGAGTGTTGAATTAACTGAGGCATTAAAATCCCCAAGAACAATAGGAAGTAAGTTAGAAAAAATTGCTTGTTGGATCCATTCATTTATAAGATTTTGGATGTGGAGTCTTGTAGTGGAGTTATCACTAGGAAGATAAATAGAAATAATAAAAATTTAAAATCGTGCTTAAAAAAGAGATCTATAAACATAGCATATCCAGGGTGAGTAACTATATTATGTATATGAGGGGTAAGATGATTTCGGATCATAATAGTGGTGCCAGCTTTAGAGCTGTCTGTACAGGACCAATAATAAATAAAAGAAGAGGTTAAGTGTGGTTTCAAATAAAAAGGGTTGGAAGCAAGTTTTGTTCAGACAAGCAAATAATATCAAGATTGTTGTTTAGGCAATATTCTTCCCAAACTTGTTGTTTTTGTCCTTAGTTAAGGCCACAAATATTATGAGTACAAATTGAAAGATTGAGGGGGGAGTAAGGAGAGTTGGAACTATTAGAAGTAAAGTTAAAAACAGGATTGTATATATTATTTAATATAGAGGAGTTATGAGTATATGATCTAAGAGGAATAGAATGTTTGAGGTAAATAGTTTCATAGTAGGGTACAATAATATGATCTGGTAGAGGGCAGGGTTCACCAGGTGTGTAAATATGGGCTTCGCTAAAGTTTGATTTAACAGATATAATAATCTTTTCATAGAGTTTGTTCCATAGACCAATAGTGAGTAAGTGTAAGATGAAAGAGTTTAGAGTTTGTGAGCTTTCGATGGGGGGACAGTTTTGAGATATAAGAAATCAGTTGTAACAAATGAGTAGATAATAAGATGTAGGAATTATATTAATATGAATCTTGGGTAGGTCTTCTACTAAATTGCTCACTGTATACCCAGCTCTCACGGTTCTGCAAGGACTAGAAGTATTCTGGTTAAATGTTTGAGTACCATAGAGAAATAATATAGGCATTATATAATAATATAAATTATTATTATTTATATTAGCTTATAAAATAGAACTATATAGTGTATTGTATTTATGTAGTAATATACTCTCTTTATATCTCAAAATTTATAATTATATTGTATAACTAATAAAAAATACCTTTTCCACAACTTTACTTTAACTTTTATCTTTATTCTAATATGTTAAGTATATGAGCGAACTGTTTTGATTTTTCTAGATTATATAAGTTAAATTTTAAAAAAAAATTTATTATATAAATTTTTTCAAATTTTATAAAGTTGTTTTTTATTTTTTTTTTTATTAGTTAATTTTTATACAGACAAAAACAATTGTGATTTATATATCAAGATAAATAGAATTGATTTATATCTATTAAGATATATTTTTTTGTCTAATAAAATAACTTATCTTACAAATTTATTTACTTACTAATTCACAATTACTTAATTATCTACTCCTATTATTTTAATAATTTCTAAACCCAAAATTTCAGTTTATTACTGAATTCATGCCTATCTAAACAATTTAGCACAAAAACAATACTGTTTATTAATTAAAATTTCCATTATTATTGCATACTTTAAGATTGTATACTTATTTTTCTAATATATTTATTATTTTTGTTTTTTAATCAATTTTAACGGAATGAGGAATGATGAATTGATAGTCATTGATCGACAAAGACTACAGTAAAAGAATAAACACTGAAACAGGAGAATTTGTTGATCATAGATTAAAATGTGATTATTAGGCACACAAAGTTGATTCATAACCCGCTGACCCATTTTTCTATTTTTAAAGTCCGATTGTGTACAGTATTTTTTTTTTCATAAATCTGGGGTCGACCTTAATTTCTAGGAATTATCTGATAGGATACAAAACGAAAAATAAACTTTGCATGGCCTTATATACAATGTAATGGTAAATATTCACAAAACTTGGATAATATTTTAAAATGCGTTAATTAATAATTTTTTTTATACCCTAGTCACAATATCAAGATCGCAGGGCATAAATCAGTTATACCCTGGGCACTATGTGTATAAGCGGAAATTTCATCTCCGCTTATACCCAACTGCCCAGTATATTAGAGATGGGCAAAGTAATTTTGTAAGTAATAATGACTTATGAATTATCCCTTACTTAATATTAAGTAATATTAAATAATTATTACATTCAATTATCTATTACGTGCACATATAAAACACATGATAAAAGTCGGAGACGGGTGATCAAAATTGAGATTGAACGAAAAGTTGTTACTAATAATAAAATTATTGTAAAATTACTTAATATTGCGAGGTAATATTAAGTAATATTAAGTAATAATATGTAACTGACTTTGCCCATCTCTACAGGATATAACTATTACATATTCGCCCAACCATATTCACTGGGGATGGGCAATTTTTATATGTACGATTACTCATTATTGCATCAAATTTTTTACATAATAAGTAATAATAAGTAAAAAAAAGCTGGTATCTGCAAAAGCAAACCTGATCGGCAGAATTTAAACTTCAGAGTTATGTCTACCATGGTGTATATGTGAATCATGTAATCAGCCGTAATAAGAAATAGTTAATAATTATATGATGAATAGATAAAGGTTAAAAAATTCATATTTACTATAAATTATTACATTGCCCATCCCTAATATTCACAACACGAATAGCTTACTGATTAATAAATGATTTCATATTCACCTTACTAGGCTAATGCAAATTAAGTTACGGCATATATTTTATTTTAGTCAAGTTTCGGATGTTCTTAATTTGTACAAACAAATTTATTATTGGTTACATTTTAAACTACATGAATAAAGTTTCATTTCATAAAAACGGGGTTACGTACCAAATACATTTTTTTATTTGACATTCATAGTTCCAAATTAGATTTTTATCTCCGAAGCATGTCATCTAATAATAAAGAAAGATTTGCAAATTTAATAACTTATTTTAAATAACTGCATTCTTTATATGTATCCTGTACAATCCTAAAGTACGCTGATTAATTACAGATATCTGATACGTATACGTACGTACGTACGTACTTACTCTAACTAGATTAATTAAGGTGTAACATAATTTATAGCATATATTTATAAACTTGAATACCTTATTTTTAAAATATATACTAATCCAAATAAAAAAATAAAATATAGTGCATTTGTAATTATTCGCAAAATCATTTTGGCAAAAATTTTTGACAGAAACCTAAAAATTTAGAAAAAATGTATAACTCGCATCCCATCGATTGTGGCTGATCAATTTTGAAATAGCAAGTTAAAAGTTTTTATTTTAATGATTGTTCATATAAAATTTTATAATATTTTTATTTTACTTTTATTTATTTATTTATTTTATTTTGATTTGTTTTTTTGCCTTTTTATTTATAATTTTTGGTTCCAAATAAAAAAAAAAAAAACTATATATAAAATTATCATATAGTAAAAAGCTTTCTTAGATTATTAAAAATAACAATCATACTAAGCAAAACTATAAATTAATTTAATTTATAGTGTAATATAAATATTAGATATATAAACAATTTTTAGCAGATTTCAATAAGGTAATAGGCAATTAAACATTATTTCCCGGTTCTATTGCTCGACGTACTGGGAAAAATCGAGATAATTTATGTACAGTGCCAAGTGGTTCAATTCTTTCTCCTAATTTAAAAATGAGTTAATGAAAAAATTTATTGATTTAATAAACAAATAAATAGCTTACCAAATAAAAAAGCGTAAATAATAGCACCTCCAGTATAAATAGCAAAAATATCTGCCAAAACGTCTATAATCTATTTATACAAATAATATTATACAAATAATCGATAATTATAATTTAACAATAAAGAATCAAAATTTACTTACAGAACCGCTTCTATTATATATTATATTGAGATTAAATATGACTATATAGATAACATTACAGTGGCAATGTAATAAGATTAACAAATTAAATTTACCTTTGCTCAAAAAACTCTTCTGTAGTGTAACTTTGTGCAATAACATCTACAGCTAAATTGTATGAAGTACTTGATTGCAATGGCAGAGTTTCTATAATTAAACAATGTTATAGATAACATTAAAATTTAAAAAAGTTAAAATATGATTAGGTAGTTAAAAAACCTTTTGCAACAATATTCTTACGTATATTTGATTCAATATATTGCACCGAAGAATAGGTGTTACCGATACCAATATAATTTGAAAATTTTTTATCTAATGTCTTTTTAACTTTTCTAGAAAACATAACAACATAATACTATTGTTTTTTTTTTTCATTAATAAAATTTAAGTTGATAATTTAAAAATTAATTGTTTTTTAAATTGACACTTACTTCTTGCGGGGATAAATAATAAAAGTTTGTAAGATTAAGTGATTGAGTAAAGTTATCATGATAACTTTTATTCCAAGGATCATGTTCTATTTTATTTTTTTATTTAGTTAGTATCAATTCAATATAATAAAGATTTTGCTTCAATGTTGTATAACTTGCCTGAATCAAATGCATACATTCCAATGGCATATGCTCCTGAACTCAAACTATTATTAATAGTTATTTTATAACTGATTCGTTGGATTCGTTGAGCATGGGAATGTAATGTGATATTGCCTTTTGGTAGAAATTTCCCAACAAGAGGGCGAAGACTATCACCAATATCCATTTCACTTGGTTGTGTTATATATTCATCGCAAGACTGATCTGAATTGGCTAGAAATATATAATGTTAATTTGCGTTCTTTTAATTTCAAAGAAAGACATCAAATATTCTTAATTTAAATATTTTAGTGATTCAATATTCGAATAACTTCAGAATTGTTGATTGTAAATTAAAAATATAATTATTATAAAAAGTCTACTTACAGTTGTAATAACCATCATATAACGTACAGTTGAGGTAAAAATTACTCCCATAAGAGAAATAAATATCTAAATTGCTTCATTATTAGAAAACATGATTCTTCGCTTATCTTTAGATTGTTTAAATAGCCTACTCGATAATCACTTGATTCGTTTCAATTCTTCAAATCGTTAAAACTTATTATAAAGAAATTTTATAGGACAAGATAAGCATTAAAGTTATTGGAAAAAACCTCCTGTATAAACTTTAAAGATTTGAAAAATTGCTATTGTTTTAAATCTAATTTCATAACCATCGAAACCTTTCATCTCATTGTAAAGTTAAAATTTTGAAAAACTTGTCACAAAGAACAAAGTTATCATTAGTTTTTGACATCTTAATCATGCAAGGAGCATAGTTATAAAAAATGAGAGATTTTCGACCGTGTGATTATCGAGTGTAGACATATTCAAAATAACTACGAACTTGGTGCAGGCACATTATCACCATGACGATAGCTGATACTTATGAAAGGCCGTTCTTGAAATAAATCAAGTCCTAATAAAACTATTACGACAGGCAACACTAATAACATAAAAAAAAGAATAAAGCAACGTCGAGCCAATAAAACGAACCTTGGTTCAGTTTTATACTTAAATAAATCAAAAAAAATTGTTTTCACTAATAATTTCGATATTTTTATTCGTAACGTTTATATATTCTAAGCAGATCATCATGCTACATAAATTACTAAAGTTGAATTTGGAACCTATCCATAAAGAGCTTTATGAAAAACATTATACATATGGGCGTATTCCTTTCAACGAATGATAAGCACATCAGGAAATTTTTAAATAGGATAGATATCGATTACCAGTTGCAGAGGCGATTGCTATCGATTAGGTCGATATTGGTAGCTAATCGATTAAAAATAATAGATTTTAATTTAGTTTTGATATCAATCAAAGCGATTCTATCGATTTTAATTAGCAGCTTTATTGTCAATCGATTATAATCAGTATCGCTGGTAATCTGCAGGGGTGCTGCTTATCGTTTGACATTTCTTTTTTCCTGATGACTGGAATTGTTAATCTTTCGAATTTTATTTTCAGAAACAGCCTATAAGAATTTCAGGTTTTTCCTTGCCTGCACTCATATAGACACGTATTCATGGTATTCTGTTTAATTGTTTGATTAAAACTTACCAAATAAGTAGCTGTGCGACATAGTTGCACCAAACCAGGAACGGATTAAAATGGGCCTGATTTAGAAATGTTTGATACTCCGGTTATATCTAGTAATCGGTTATAGTGCGATTCCCCGAATGCCAAGAACATTAATACTGACTAAATTGCATCACAAAGTTGTTTTTACGTAGAGTTATATAAATATTCTATGTATATTTTATTTAAAAATTATATGTAGATCTATAAACCCAATGTAGACTTATATAGATGTAATTTTTATATAAGTTAAAAT